CAAATTATAAATTGATTGCAGGGGAACCAGCAAAATCCTGTCTTCACTTGTAGCCTCCTAAAGTTGGTGGGTACTGTTTTGGGGTTGGAGCTGGGTTTTTTTGCCTCCAGCTGCTCACATCCTCATGCTTGGAAGATTTCATGTTTGTTTTCATTGTTGTGCTTAAGAGTGTAAAGAAAGAATGTGAGATGTCACATGTCTAGCCTGTGTAATCATTTATCTGTGTCTCTGCTTTCCTTTCCTTGCACACTCTCAGCTTGTACAACATATTGCTTGCTGCCACTGTGTTGTAAGCATAAAGAAACACTCTCCCGTTCCCAAATCCCTACTAAGAACAGAGGTATTTATATTTCCTGTTTTGCCACCAGTAAAGTTTCAGACTGAGATCTGTGAGCTTCACACGTGTTGTCTGTGACTCTTACAGCTGTCGATGTTGACCTGAGCTTGAAGCACAAAGATAAAATAGCCACACTTTCTCCCCCCACCCTTGTTATATTCTTTCCCCATGAATATGGTGTGAGGGACAGTTGGGCTCATTCTTCACATTCATCTTTTGAGGTCTTAAAATTCCCAGACTCAAGTTTTGCATATACTACCAAGGATTGAACTGACCAAGCTACTGCTTCTGTGCTCTATGCAAAAGTAGCCCCTTTCACAGGACAGACTCGGCTGCTGACCATCCCTCTGCAGTGTTAAGCCTTAAATATATGCCATCAGTGCCACCTGGAAAATCAAGCAAGCTCTTGTAAGGAGCAGCAACATGTGCTCAGCCTCCAAATATGTTCTGGGTTATGTTGTAAATTTATCATGCAAATAAGTGACTTGTTGAATTGTTGATGTGCAGTGTACCCTGCCTGCCTGCTCTGATCAATGCATTTGAAACTTTAACTCTCAGGGTACTAAATATGGATATGGACTTATTATTTTTCTTGAAATAAATGTTTTGAGGCAATATCACAAGTTGTGGCCTCCTATACTAGGGATAATTTCTGGACATATCTTCAACTCTGAGTAGATCACTAATGACCTGCTTTGATACTACCAGGTATAGTTCTGTGTATTTGCCTGTGATTTATCTGGAGGTCAGGCTTAAATAAAAGAAATGCTGTACTTTCCATATATTGGAAAAACTTGTTTACTGTGAATGGCTGGCCAGTGAAATAATGTTCTCGACTTTAATCCATATATGATTTAGTTTAATTTGGTAAAATTAAATTTTATTGTACTTGGTCTGTCACTGAGAAGGCTTAAGAGATTTTTTTTTGCCATGCATTAAACAACTACAAACAAAAGCAAACCTTTTAGTTTATATTTATTAGCTTTTCTGTAATAATGCATGCAAAGCCATAGTAAAAACAGTATAGCTAATGCTTATAAAAAGACTAAAACAGCAGCAACATCAAAGTTCACCTTGTAATTGCTGTTCCCTTTTGATAGGAAAATGCCAGTAGAAGTTGTGCAGCAAGCCTTCTCAGCAGAGTTCCCAAGGCAGGGGAGTTTCAGAAAGTGTGAGCCCCCACAGGGAGAGCCCTGCTCTGTGCCATGTAAAGATCAAGCAGATAGAATATCCCCTGCAGAGTAAACAGGGCGTAATTCACATAGCTTCACTGTCCATAATTGAATTTAGTCTGTAGTAAATGCAAAGCATGTTGCATGTCTGGTAACTTTGGAACCTTTCTCAGACATGAAAATGGGTTTCAGCCATAACAAATGTGGAACATCTTTCTCCAGTGCTATAGTTCTAATTTTCAAACATGACTAGCAGTCCAAGACTTGGTGACAGACTTTCCTTGGAGAAACTGAAGGGCCATAACTTTTCATAGCAACCTTCTAATATCTTGGCAGATTCAAAATATTTATTTCTGGGAACCACTGAGGAAATGTCCTTGTCCTCTTTCAGAAAATTAACATACAAAAATGGTTTCCCTCTCTTCATTATTTTCCTCAGAGGACTTCTCTTGTAAACAATCTGTTGCTTCCTTCTTCCCACCCATCAGGTTTGTCTACATTCTTCATAAGTGTGCTGCTTGTAACTGAAGCATACATTGTAATTATTAGGCCTCTGTTGGAATAGTGTAGCTAGCTCTTGTAATTTAGAAAACAGTAATTCAGTTAATAGTCCAAAATTGCCTAGGACTACTTTACAATTATAGTCATAATGGATTGGATCCAGAATAGAGCACAGTTCCTTCTACTCATTCAAGGGGACTTTGTGAGTTCTTTCTTACAGCGTTGGCTTCTCTGCCACCCAAAAAACCATCCTAAAATTTGATGGACCCTTGAGTGGCTTTTCAAGACAGTACAAGGAGCTATAATGTGTGGGGCAGGGGACAAAAGATTGGCTATCTGATCAGCGTCAAAGCCATTGCTTATTGAGTAAAAGTCCTCTCTGCCTGTGAGTCACTGCATCACTAAGAAAGCAATTTAGGTAAAGTGTCATGTGTTAGCATAGCCGGAACCAGAACTAGAAGGTTTTATTCACAGTCTATGACCAGAACATAAATCACAGACAATAAAATGCCTCATTGAGGCAATACACCAATAATAAAATCATTCACAATACAATATGAGCAATGCCTCATGATAAAATCATTCAAAATACAGAAGAATACTACAATGTCTACTAAAAAGTTTGAAATCTCAACAATCTACTACATGAGCTATTACAGTTTTCCTATGCCTTTTGGCAAGCCAGGCAAATCTTGCCACCTGGTAAGTAAGGTTATGGTGCCTATCTGAAAGAAAGCTCCTCAGAAGGCACAATCTCTGTCTGCTGTTTAAAAGTAATGACATAGGCAGAGGAAGGGATTCACGGAAATCGTTATACACCTTACAGTCGAACAGGACGTAGTCTAGTGGTTCTGTGCCTTCATTACAGCAGGGGCAAATCCTTTCTTTATAGGGAATCTTTATATACTTTCCTTCAAGGACAGCTGAGGGAAGTGAGTCACAGCGCATTAACATGAACACTCTCCTATACTCTTGATTTAATAGGTGGGAAAGGTAAGGTACTACTATGCCCTCATAGTAGGTTCCAGACAAAGTCTCCCTCTCCCTATTCTATTCAAACCGTATTGCCTTAGCATAGCCCCCAA